ACAAATGTCAATAACATTATAGTAATTTTAATATCTATAATATAAAAAACACCATTGATATTGATAGCATTAGTAAAAAAGCGCCATTCCCACTAATTCAGGAAGATTACAAGGTCTACTAATTGACTCCTTTGTGGCTATATAGAACCATCTATGCAGAGACATTTCACAAAAATTATAAAAGGAGCACAGCATTTTCCCAGAGACACTGAGTTAACAATATTACAGATACTACTCTTGTAACAGATCAAATGATTGGACTTTTGAAAGAATATTTGTACTTCTTCTTTAGAAGATATCTTAGTGTGGTATTTAGGAGTTTCATGGTACAGCAATATGTGATTTACCTTATTATCACCTTCGGTTATTGATGACTGCTCCTAACCTTCTCAGACCTGAAACAAGAGTGCAGGTCCTTAAAAATTATTATTCATATATAAAAAAGTCTGAAAATCTGATTATTTTGAATTAAAAAAGTGGTTAAATTTATTTATTAGAAAAAAAGGATATTCCACATAAAAATACAGAAGCTCAAACAAAATACATCTTTTCCTTTCTCAAAAAATCCTTTTAATTAGCTTTTATGTAATATATAATACAATGGAGGTAAAAATCCCTTAAAAACATATAATCACTTAACTCTTTACAAGACATCATAAGAGGATATTCAACACAAGGAGACTGCTAAAACTTTCTGCATATACAGAATTTGATATTCATGTGTATATCACAAAATCTGTAACAAAATTGAAATTAAAAAATGCTCTGGTACCTTCTTGCAATTCTTCTTCAGGTACAGAGAAGAGGATCCTAAACCACCCTGGCTCAGAGCAGTGGAACTTGGTACCTGGGATGATACTCACTCCAGCATACAGGAAGGCCCGGCACAATTCTGGCAAGAGTAGTTACATTTATTCCTTAGTTCATGTAAAAAACATAAATATTCACCATAAAAAATATAAATACTGACATTTTTTAAGATATGTCACTTTTCTATTCCTGTTTACTGATAAACAAGCACTGATAAACTAAATTCAGTATTTTTCTTGCATCACATTTATTTTTTCTTCTTTTTTAGATACAAAAGTGAAAGATTATACATGCATAATAAAATGTAACTGGGAACTACTTATGCTGTGAGAGATATATAGTAGCTATAAAGAACAATATTTCCACAGGTAACACAACATATATATTTTCCACAATCCTGTGGGTACATATCCATTTACTTCCCATACTTACCATACTCGGCTTCCACAGTAGGCTCAGTGAGGAAGGGCTGGAGGTTCGCCCAGAGGAAAAAGGCTCCTTTGGCCTCCAGCACTTGGATCTGGAGCTCCTCCATCATGTCACAAGCCCTTGCATATGCTTCAGCCAGTTTCTTTCTGCTGGAGTCAAGGAAGTTGTCACACCAAACTGTGTGGAATAAAATATTCATGGAAGATTTTTGTAAGCTGAAACCCTTCAGACAATTTCTCACTTAGATATAACCTTATTACAGACAAAAATAAAAAGCAGAAAATTAGCATATTTTCAGTCACCCTTTGTAGGACTGTTAGATAATTGAAAGGAAGTACTAGGAATTAAAATAAGGATTTAAATCTTTTAGAATTAATAAACCTCACTGTATTTCTCTCAGTTTTAAACATACTCCATAATCATGATAAATTCTGAGCACAACCTAAACAACTTATGAGATATAACTACAAAAATTTGGCCAACAAACAGCAAATAAATGCCAGATAAATTATTGTTACTTTTCATGTCATGCTTCAAAATTTACCTGTGTCACTGATCATGGTGGCTACAGCATGCTGTGTTTGCTGTGATGTCGAGTGGTAGTGAGAACGAAGTTTAAGCTTAGTCAACAGCTGCGGATTCACAGTGTGAATTAGTCCCATTCGTAACCCAGCAATGCAGAAATCCTGGAAAAAGACGTAAAGTTAACAAACTCTATTTTCATAAGTAATTTTACTTATTTTAACATAAAGATGTTTTAAATATTCAAAATGAATAAGGCACACATTCAACATACTTATAATATTTTTGCAATCCATAAATATCGTACTTTACTGAATCCCCAAAACACATGAGTCCTATGGGGGTCAGGCAGATCTTCAAGAGCCAGGAGACTAGTAAAGGTAACATCACTGGCAAAGACGGAAAATGCAAAGATCTCATCTACCACAACATGGACTTCATACCTAAAATTGCAAAATAAAAATAATCAGGATGCAATTTATACAAACTTCAGAATATTACTGTTATATGACAAAACAAGAAAAACATGATCTGCAACTGGGGAAACATGAAATACAGAAAAGATTCTACCTAGCACAGATCTCTAAGACAGCCCTGAGGAAACTTGGTGTCATCACTTGGCCAAGTGGGTTCTGAGGGTTGGCCAGGACACAGGCTCTCACACACTCACCCTCACTCTGCACTTCTACTATGCTTGCCTCCACCTGTTCTGGTGTTAGCTCAAAGTTGTTCTGCAAAA